GGTCTTTTAAACTGATAAACCTAGAGCTTCAAGATGAAGAAAAACCACCTGGAGAGGAAGAGCCTTGAAACAACCACATGGGGGTATCACAAAGGCTGTTTGTGCAGATGTTCAAACCTAGTCACCTTATTTTCTTTCCAGAATCTCTAACTCTAAAATAAAAATTTTAAGCCAGACATGGAGGTTCCTGCCTATAATCCTAATAGTTGGGAGACTGGGTAAGACAAATATGAGTTCTAGGTCAGCCTTTGTTACAAAGTGAGACTCTTGCTAGGAATAGGAGTTATTGACATTGTGTATCCCTGATATGACATGCTAAGAAGACAAATCATGTCTTTCATCAAAAAAGCATAATAGGTTAAAAAGGGCCAGCTGTAGTGGCTCATACCTTTAACCCCAGCATTTGGGGCATAGAAGCAGGTGGATCTCTGAGTTTAAGGCCAGCCAGAGATACAGAGTGAGACTCTATCTCAAATTTTTTTTTTGTTAAAAATACATAATCCCAGCACTCAGGAGGCAGAGGCAGGTGGATCTCTGTGAGTTTGAGGCCAGCCTGGTCTACATAGTGAGTTCCGGGACAGCTGGGGCTACAGGGAGACCCTGTCTCAAAAAGACAAAAAAAAAAAGAACAGCTAGTGCTCTTAACCACTGAACCATTTCTCCTGCCTCCGTTTTTTTTTTTTTTTTTTTTTTAAGGGGGGGACAGGTTCTTACTATGTAGCTCTGGCTAGACTAGAACTCACCATCTAGACCAAGCTGGCCTCAAACTCTCAGAGATGTGCCTGCCTCTGCCTCCCAAAGGCTAGGACTAAAGGTGTGTACCATCACACCCAGAGGACCCAATTTTTTAAATTTACTATTTATTTATTGTTTGTGTATGTGTGTGTACGATACGTAAGTGCAGGTATGTATACTATAATATGATGTGGGAATCAGAGGATAAATTCCATAAGTCAGTTCTCTTCTTCCACCATTGGGATCAGGGATCAAACTTGATCCCTGATCAAGCCAAGCTCGATTGTGCCAAGCACTTTTCCCCACTTAACCACCTAACTAGTTGAGACACAGTTATTTGTTAATTGGAGTGCAGTGCTACGTACAGTTTCTTCTTTATTTTTTATTTTTATAGTTTCTCCCTGTAGCCCCAGCTGTCCTGGAGCTTGTTATGTAGACCAGGCTAGACTTGATCTCACAGAGATCTACCTGCCTCTGCCTCCCAAGTTCTGGAATTAAAGGCATGTGCCATCACACCCGACTTACATTCAGCTTTTTTTTCTCAAGTCTTCCACATTCTACTCAGTTCCATATTGCATAGGTCACTTTCAGTAAAGTGGTTCTTATATTTGTAACTCATTCTCTAGTCATTCTTTAGTCCATCCTGAGATCCCCTGACTTCTTTTTTTGATTTTATTATTTTTATTTTATGTGTATGTGTGTATTGCCTGCATGTACGTAAGTGCACCTGTGTTGTGCAATGTCCACAGAAGACAGAAGAGGTTGTCGGATCCCCTGGAACTGGAGCTATGGACAGTAGTTAGCTGCCATGTGGGTGCTGGGATTTGAACCTGGGTCTTCAGCAAGACCAGTGTTCTTAACTGCTTAGCCATCTCTCCAGCCCCTCCCCTGAATTAAACTTTGCTGTTCTTTTGAAGTTTGTGTGTATGTGTGTGCGTGTGTGTGTGTGTGTATACACACTTTTGCTTTTTGAGACAGGGTCTCCTTGCTGCTCATGCTGGTCTGGAACTCACTGTGTAGGCCAGGGTGGCCTTGATCTCACGGATATCAACCTGCCTCTGCCTCCCAAGTGCTAGGATTACAGGCGTGCAACCACCACACTTGGATGAAGTTAGTGTATTAAGGTTCAGTTTCATTTGTAGCTTTTGGCAAATGCATAGCTACAGATCCTTTATTACCTTATTTTTAAATTATATTTTATGTATGTTTTGCCTGCATGTATGTAAGTGCACCCATGTCATGCAATGCCCACAGAGATCAGAAGAGGGCATCAAATCCCCTGGAACTGGAGTAATAGACAGTTGTTAGCCACCATGTGGGTGCTGGGCTGGGAATTGAACCCAGGTCCTCTACAACGGTAGTGCTTTTTTTTAAAAAAAAATTTTTTTAATTTATTATTTTTATGTGTATGTGTGTATTGCCTGTGTGTAGGTAAGTGCATCTGTGTCGTGCAATGCCCCCAGAGGACAGAAGAGGCTGTCGGATCCCCCGGAACTGGAGTTATGGACAGTTGTTAGCTGCCATGTGGGTGCTGGGAATTGAACCTGGGTCCTCTGCAAAAATAGCCAGTGCTCGTAACCACTGAGCCATCTCTCCAGCCCCTATTAGTTTATTTTAATATCATGCAAAATAGCTTCACTAGTCTAAAAATAAAAGTTTTTAATTTTTTTTTTTTTTTTTTGGTTTTTGAGACAGGGTCTGCCTGTAGCCCCAGCTGTCCTGGAACTCACTATGTAGACCAGGCTGGCCTTGAATTCACAGAGATCCGCCTGCCTCTGCCTCCTGAGTGTTGGGATTAAAGGTGTGCGCCACCATGCCTGGCTAAAAATTTTTAATTTTTAAAAAATATTTTTGCCGGATTTGGTAGCACAAACCTTTAGTCCCAGCTCTCGGGAGGCAGAGTCAGGCAGTTCTCTATGGGTTCAAAGCCAGCCTGGTCTACATAGTGAGTTCCAGGCCAGCTGTGGCTACAGGGAGACCATCTCAAAAAGACCAAAAACATATATTTCTATGTTTATGAGTGTTTTACCTCCTGAATGTATGTAAGTGCACCATGTGTGTGCAATGCCCACAGACACCAGAAAAGGGTGTTGGATCCCCTGGAACTGGAGTTAAGGATGGTTATTAGCCATCATGTGGGTGCTGGGAATCAAACCCAGGTCCCCTGGAAGAACAGCAAGTGTTGTGTTTTTAACTGGTGAGCCATATCTCCAGCCCTTAATTTTATAATTTTTAAATTATGTGTATATATTGGGGGATGGTGGTATGAGCGTGTTAGTACAGGTTTTCTTGGAGGTCAGAACATCAGGCTTCCCTCTGAAGCTGGCAGGGGGCTGCCCTACAGGCAGTAGTTGTGTGCTACCCTATGGGAACTGAAGTTGGGTGCCCTTAACCACTGAGTCATCTTTCCAACCCCTGCCTCCCAGTCTTATTCTTGAGAAAGGGTCTTTCTATACAACCCAGCCTTGACTGATATCTTTTTTTTTTCTATCCTTTCATTACTCCAGCTTTCATTCTCACAGTTCTTCTGACCTGGGGTTGGTGAGTATGTGCACCGTTAGAGACGGTCTTACCCTTAGCCCAAGCTGGCTAACTTTCGGCAATCTTTCTGTCTTAGCATCTGGAGGACTAGGATTAAAGGAATGTACCACCACGCTCAGCCTATTGTGATCTTTTGAGGTCTAGAATGGTCCCCTCTGGTATACTTTTGTTTGCTTTTTTTTTTTTTTTTTTTTTTTTTTTGTCTTTTTGAGACAGGGTCTCCCTGTAGCCCCAGCTGTCTGGGAACTCACTATGTAAACCAGGCTGGCCTTGAACTCACTGAGATCCAACTGCCTCTGCCTCCTGAGTGCTGGGATTAAAGGCGTGTGCCACCACGCCCGGCATTTTTGCTTTTTACCAAGCATTCAGAGATGCTAACACTCTGGTTTCTCATTCTAAACTCAGGTTTGAGAACCACTGGGCCCCCCAGAATAGGTAGACCATGCTACAGAATGTAAAGTTGGTTGATTATCAATTCACTTACACTCTCAGCAACCATTTCCTGATTAGTCCTGTAATATTTCAGGGCAAAGGCAGCATTTAAAGAGCAGTAAGATGGCTATGGGAAAAAGGCACTTTGCTGCCAAGGCTCATGACCTGAGTTTGATCCTCAGGACACACTGGGAGGGAGAGAACTATCTCCCCACAAGTTGTTCCCTGACTTCCACATGTGCACTGTGGCACACTCATCCCCCTTCTCCCACTTAAAAAAAAAAAATATCACACACACACACACACACACACACACACACACACACACACACACGGCAGCCTTTAGAGCTTTCTTTGGGTTCCCAGACAATCTTACCCGCTCCTTCATGCTTTTAAGCCTTTTTCTTTCTTTAAATTTTTTATTTTTCAATATTTTAAAATTATTTTATTTTGGTCTTTTAGAGACAGGGTCTCCCTGTAGCCCCAGCTGGCCTAGATATGTAGATCAGGCTGGCCTTGAACTCACAGAGGTCCGCCTGCCTCTGCCTCCTGAATGCTGGGATTAAAGGTGTGCACCACCATGCCTGGCTATTCTTTATGTGTGTGAGTGTATTGCCTGCATGTATGTAAGCGCACCCATATCATGCAATGCCTCAAAAGGTCAGAAGAGGGCGTCGGATCCCCTGGAACTGAAGTTACAAGTGGTTGTTAGCTGCCATGGGGGTGCAGGGAATTAAACCCGGGTCTTTGGCAAGAGCAGCCAGTGTTCTTGACTGCTGAGTCATCTCTCCAACTCCTTATGAGTGTTTTGCCTGCATATATATAAGTGTACCACACATATGCAATGCCCACAGAGGCCAGAAAGAGGGTGTTGGCTCCCCTGGAACTGGAGTTATGGACAGTTGTTAGCCACCATGTGGGTGCTGGGAATCAAACCCGAGTCTTCTGGAAGAATAAGTTGTTCTTAACTGCTGAGCTGTCTCTCCAGCCCCTAAGCTTTTTCATTTTATTTCACTCAGCATTCTCAGAGTAGTCTCTGCCTCCCATATACGTTCACGCTCAAAGCACCAGACTCTAGTCATAAATTCACTGTACAAAAGACAAGCCAAGTGTGGTTGATCACCCCTATAATCCCAGCACTTGAAGTCTGAGGCAGGAGGATTGTTACAAGTTCTGGATCAGCCTGAGCTACAGTGAGACACTTTCAAAACACTAAACCAAACCCCAACCTCAAGATACTGACATTGTCTGCAGCCTGTCTCCATTCCCTTAGAAAACAAACACCAATACCATCTCACAACAAAGATCACATCATTTATTTACAAAGGCCAGGACAGAAGTTGAGGGAGGCAGGGTGGGGAAGGGCAGACATGTTTGAACTGCTTGGGATCCTTTCTCACCCGGAGTATGACTCCTCTTCTCTTACTCCATACTCTCTGCCAGGGGTCCTGCAAGTAGCTGGGCCACACAGAAGAGAGGATGTGGTAAGAGCCTCCTCCTCTGTGCTCCGGTAAAGCCCAATTCCACATTAAAGGCATTGCTGCCACCCTCCCACCCCTTCCTCAAATAGAACTTGCTGACCTAGAGGGAAACAGTGGAGAAATGAAAGGCCAAGGGGCTCTGGTGAAGAAAACTATCATTCACCAAAGAAGTAATAGTGGCAAGGGTCTCAGAGCAAATACCTTTAGGAGAGCAATCCAATACTGCTTTCTGGTTAGCAGGCACCCAGAGACCCAGGGGATCCAGCTCTCCCAATGTACATATCCCTACTCTGGACTGGCCCTTGTATTCACTTGTCTCTGGTGACAGAGCTCTGAACCAGAAATCAATTAAGAAGCCACGCCTACACACTTGCATGCGTGTATACATGTATGTGTATACATGTATTACATATTGCTGACAGATCCAATCCCCTTCATATCTTCTAGAGGTGGGGCTCAAATTACCAAGGCCTGAAGATACAGGTAAGTTCTAGGTTCATGGAAACGTGTGTATGTGTGAGTATCCACATGCTGGAGAAAATGGAGCCAACCTGATTCCTTGTGGGTCATACTGTTCAGCTTTGTTGAGCTCTTTTCTTCAGTTCAAATTATATCAGTGTCTCTATTTCTCTTCAGGCCCAGACTTGGATTCTCCAGTCTAAAATCCTATTGGTGTTTCCATATCCCAACTGTCAATTCCATCTTCCAAGCCCAGGCTGTTTCCCCCATCTCAGTTTTTGCTTTTCAGCATCAGTCTCCATTGGTCTGTTCTTGTTAATTTTTTAATTTCGGTCCAGAGTGCTATCTCACTGCTCCCTTGGGACAAGAGACTAGACATCTTTCTCTTTGCCTTGGAGTCCCAAAGCAGTCCATGAAAAGTGCTGGATGAACCAGAATAGGGGTAGAGAAAGAAAACCACAATGCTTCACCAGCCTTCAGAGAGTGAAATCCTAACGCTGGTTTGGCCGGGGTTTGGGAGAAGGAAAAAGATGGAAGAGAGTAAACGTAAGGCAAGCTAACCCTAGTGGTACTGATGGAAGGCTTTCAGCACAGCAAATAGGGGCTCCTCCTTTCACTACAGTCCCATGAGAAGTCTGCAGATTGAGAAGGTCGTTGTGGGCAAGGAGGTGGGGCCAACTGACATTAACTGCAAACTAAACAGCTCTGCTCAAGGAGGACCAAGAGCAAAGATTCTGTGAGACAGCAGTAAAACCAAAATTCTTGGACAGAGCGCTGGGATTGGGGCCCATGTCTCTGAAGTCACTCTACTGTTTGTAGAGGACAAGGAAGAAGACAAAAAGACAGAATGCAAAGAGTGGGGCCTGACAGAGGAACCAAAGGCTGGCACTGAGTGGAGGGAGAGGCAGGAGGCATGGACCAAGGGATCAGGAGAGCTGGGACCCCAGAAGTCTCTCAATAGCCGCGTTGATATCCCCTCCTGTGGCAATCAGAGCCTGCAGGTTGGCTTCACGGTTGACGAAGCCCATGGAGTTGAGCTGCTCCAGCTGCTGCTGAAATCTCACTTCTGGCATCGGCACCTGGAAAAGGCAGGCCTCACGAAGTGGACATGCGACCTAGTCTATGGTTAGCTGCCTTTTTTTTTGGTCTTTTTGAGACAGGGGCTCCCTGTAGCCACAGCTGGCCTGGAACTCACAATGCAGACCAGGCTGGCCTTAATCTCACAGAGATCCACCTGCTTCTGCCTCCAGGCTGTGATTAATTAAAGTGTCTTGCTATGTAACTCAGGGTGGCCTAGAATTTGCAATTCTGCCTCAGCTTCCTCAGTACTGGAATTGCAGGTGTACAACACCATACCTGGCTCCTAGGGGGACAATTTGAGGACTTAAGTAAAACCAGTAGGTCTTTAACATCTTCAGAGTCAATTAGTGGGATGAGGAAGAGCAAGCTGCAAATGAAGGCCAGAGAACCTAGGTCCCAAGTCAATAAATAACTGTAACAATAAAACAATATTATTTTTTTTTAATTCTCAAAGTCCCTGATAGGCCTGGGTTAGCTAATTCCTAAACGCATCCCACAAACACTCAGGGGATGTTTCAAATGTCTAATGCTGGATTGAGTATATATAGCACAGTGGTAGAGCCCTTGCTTACAATGTGCAAGGCTCTGGGTTTGATTCCCAGCATATTACTTACACACATACACACAGCCCAGAGCAGTACAAATAAGGTACATGCTAAACATATCCCTCCCAACATCTTTACATATACAGTAATAGTAAAGGCCAGAGAAGGGTCCCAGGAAAGAAAGAACTTATTTAATTCCTTTAACCTGTCAGTAAACACAATATTTACAAGAACAGGCCTTTTCACTCTCCACACGCCAATAAATATCTCCTGGAAATGTTTTCCCCAGGGATGTTTGAGAAGCACTAGCCTAACAAGAGAAAGATTGTGGCTCACTATCACCAGGCTAGTGATAATTTACACAGATGGACCCTGGAGATCACCTGGCCTAGACCCCTCTAAGTGTCTTATACACACTTTTTTTTGTCTTTTTGAGACAGGGTCTCCCTGTAGCCTCTCATACACACTTCTGTCCAACAGTATCTTCAGATTAGTCACAGAGGTCAGAGGTACCCCAGGTTATCTCTATGCCTTTCCAAATCCCTGGCCTTCACTGTAGCCAACTCTAGTCACCTCACCTTCCAGAATCATCTTCTCCAGAGTCTCAGAGAAGGAGGTTGCTTTAGTTAGCAAGAGTCCTTTAAAGGGTCGGAAGAAAAAAAAGGAGGAAAAAAAAAAATCTCAAGGTTGTATGGCTCATAGTTAAGAGCATTCCTGCAGAGGACCTGGGTTTTGGTTCCCAGCACCCACATGATGGTTAACAACCATCCTACTCCAGTTCCAGTGTATCTGTCCCCCTTCTGGCCTCTGTAGGCATTGCATGCACACAATGTACTCATATGCAGACAAAACACTCATACACATCAAATAGTTTAAAAAGGAAAAAAAGAGTTGGGCATGGTGATGCACACCTTTAATCCCAGCACTGGGGAGGCAGAGACAGGTGGACCTCTGAGTTTGAGGCTAGCCTGGTCTACATAGCAAGTTCCAGGCCAGCTGGAGCTACAGGGAGACCCTGTCTCAAAAAAGACCAAAAAATAAAAAAAATAGAGCTCTCCCTAGATAAAGCACTTAGCACAGCATTCAGCATGTAGTAAATGCTATTACTTTTCTCATCTCCACCTTAAAGCTGTCGAAACTGAACTTGGAGACACATGGTAACCTGCCCAAGGGTAGTGAGTCGTAGACTAGGCCCTAAAGCCAGATCTGCTGCTTGCAAAGCCTGCACTACTGCTGCCATTCCACTGCTGCCTTTGCTGCTGCCCTATATACCTGTGAGTTTCCACTTCCAGCCAAAAGCTGGATCATCTGCTGCATGAGCTGCTGCTGGGCACTGGAAGCCCCTGTGGAAGGAGATGTGGCTGGTATGCCTGGTGAGGAGGTGGGGGCCTCAGCGGTAGACCCAGAGTTGCTGCCTGCCAAGGGTGCTGGGGTCCGTGATGTTCCAAAGGAGCCAAGGCTGCAAGCAGAGAGAACAGGAGTTGGGAGACAGCAGTCAAGAAAATGATGGGGCTGGGCATGGTGGTGCACACCTTTGATCCCCAGCACCCGGGAGGTAGAGAGAGGTAGATCTCTGGGCCAGCCTAGGGGCTACAGGGAGACTCTGTCTCAAAAAGACCAAAAAAAAAAGGAAGGGTTGGAAAGATGGCTCAGTGGTTAAGAGCACTGACTACTCTTGAGAGGACCTGGGTTTGTTCCCAGCATACACATGGTGGCTAACAACCGTAACTGTAACTCCAGTTCCAGAGACGCTGATGCCCTCTTCTGACCTCCCTGGGCATTGCACAACACAGGTGTACTTAACATAAACGCAGGCAATACACTCATACACATAAAATTAAAATAATAAATACAATATTTTGGGGGCTAGAGAGATGGCTCAGTGGTTAAGAACACTGGTTGTTCTTGCAGAAGACCTGGGTTCGAATCCCAGAACCTACATGGCAGCTAACAACTGTAACTCCAGTTCCAGGGGACCTGACAGCCTCTTCTGTCCTCCACAGGTATTGCACGACACGGGTGCACTTACCTACATGGACGCAATACACGCACACACATAAAATAAAAAATAAAATAAAATAAAATTTATTTTAAAAAGAAAATGATGTTTGGGCTGCAGAGACGGCTCAGCAGTTAAGAGCACACTCTACTCTTGTAGAGGACCCAGGTTCAATTCCCAGTACCCACATGGCAGCTAACAACTGTCCATAACTCCAGTTCCAGGGGATCCAACCTATATATACTCTCAGCCCTGAAATTCTTTTTTTTTTTTGGTGGGAGTTAGGGATTGAACCAGGGCCCCGTGCATGCTAAATACATTCCAACACTTGAGATACACAGTCCCTCAAATGGATCTGAACATGAGCTAGCTGTGCAAATGGACACTAAAGTATGTGTGGCAGAGACCACTACCAACTACCAGTCAGAGGGAAACTCTACTGCTGCTAGCGAAAATCCTGCCATTAATGTAGCACACTTCCAACACTCAAAAGTTGAAATTCTGAACTGGGGGCAGTGGCACATGCCTTTTGTCCCAGCACTTGGGAGGCAGAGGCAGGCAGATCTTTGTGAGTTTAAGGCCAGCCTGGAATACATAGCGAATTTCCAGGACAGCTGGGCTACAAGGAGACCCTGTCTCAAAAAGACAAAAAAAATACAATAAAATAAAGAAGCCGGGTGTGGTGGTGCATGTCTGTAGTCCCAGCACTTGGGAGGCAGAGGCAGGTGGATCTCTGTGAGTTCAAGGCCAGCCTGGTCTACATAGTGAGTTCCAGGACAGCTCAGGCTACAGGGAGACCCTGTCTCAAAAAGACCAAAAAATAAAAATAAAAAATAAAGAAAATGATGGGAGATGGCATGGAAGCACTCACTTGTAATCCCAGTACTTGGGAGGCTGAAGTAGGAGGACCACAAGCCTGAGGCTAGCCTCGGCTAAGAAGTGAAATCCAATTTGAAAAAAAGAGGAAAAGGACGGAATGTGAGATCCAGAAGGAAAAGCGGTTGGGGGAAAACAAGAAAGCAGACCAAAGGACAAAAAGGCTGACCATGGTGGCAGAGAGAAGGGATAAAGGGGAGGGGCAGTCTGAACCTTGCTGCCCACCAACCCCCCTTACCTGGGTACCAGCCCAGGGGCCTCAGTCTGTAGGGTCTGCAGTCCCTGCTGGATCTGCAGCAAGGCCTGCATGGCTCGGGGATTGGTGAGGATGGAAAGAGACTCTGGGTTCTGCATCTGTTGGGAAACAAGGAAAGGCAACAGGAGGCAGTAAGAAGAGCAAACAACCTATAGTCAAGATCTGTCCCTTACCTTCATTTTTACCCATTGGGTTTCCAGGTCTACCCCTCTATGATTCTCACTTACCTGCTGCAGAAACACAGGGAGCTGCAGGCGGAGCTGCTCCTGTAGTTGAGGGTTCCCTGCAAACAGCGGCACGTTCACCATCATCTGCCAGAGTGAAGGGATTAGAGGAAGCCTAGGCCATCTTACTAAAAGTGGTTCCCCATAGCCTCAGATCCCCTCATCACCCCCATTGCTGTAGGAAATCTGGCCAGCATTTTCAAGGATCTCAAAGTGGCCCCCAAATTTTGTGGGACAGTGAAAATAAATGGATTTGTGTGCTGAGAAATGAAGAGCAGCAGGAATCAGGCTTCTGGCCTGGGTCTGACAATCATGAGAACTACTACTTCAAGTATACAGCGCCTCCCATACACCACACCACTGGGCATGTCCAAGCTCCTGTGATCCATCACAATGAGGAAGGAACTATTGTTACCACCATTTTGCAGATGAGGAAACTAGGAGGTGATATAACTTAGCTCACATAGCTGGGAAGAGGCAGAACTTGGGATATAATCCAAGGCAGTCTGGCTCCAGAGTGTTTCAATCACCACTAAAATCTGTTCTCTCCTCCAGCCACATTTTCTTGGGCGGGTTTCATACCTGAGCAGCAAAGTCTGGGTTCTGGGCAAGTGTCTGCATCATGCTGCGCATATAGGGAGCTGAGATCACATTCTGCATTAGTTGGGGGTTTTCAGAAATCTGTTGGAGGAGTGCCTGCATTTCTGGGCTGTTGAACATCCCTAGGACAAAGAGGGAGAAACAAAACAGGAAGAAAGGGGTCCAGATGGAAACCAGACACCTTATTTAATCTACCTCACTTCAGACACGGAGTGGTCAGGAAACAGAAACACAACGGTCAAAAGGGTACCCAAGCACCGTGGCGTGGGTCCAAGTGTCTCCTGACTCCAAAGTCAGCCTGCTCTGCTTTGTCCTGGACCTTTCCCGTTGACTTGGCTGAGGGCCAACTGGCTAGAAACTGGTCTGAGTTATGCCCCTCTGGACTGCTTTTGCTATAAGCTAAGATAATGTGTAAGCTGGAAAGGACCGATTAAATGTCATGGAGATCAGTGGTTTTCAAATTTGCCTTAGCAGAAGGGGCTTGTTCCTCAAGCCAAATGTCACTCAGAAACCAGGTATGACAATGGTGAGGCTGGAGCTGGGGCAGGAAGCATGGAACAAATCCTACTTGATCCTCCCCTCTCCTGGAGATGGTCTAGCTCCCCCAGGACTTAAAGAACAAAGTTTAAAACCATGGATCAAAAGCTAGTACTTCCTTTATAAATAAGGAAACTGAAGCACATCAAGGGGTAAATACTTTCCCTAGGTTTTGCCTAGGTTTCCCAAGGTTCTCCTAGGGTACAGAGAAATCATGACATCTACCAAAAAATATCCCATATGTACTGTCACAGTCAAGACAGAACAATCCTTAGAGTTTATCATATGTAACCTGGACTTGTGCACACAGCAGCCCTGTACATCTCTCCCCTAGTCTCATATCTGCCTGTCTCTGGATCTGTCCTGATTATTCTGCAACCCATTCCAAGACCCCCATCTCCCAGTCTGACCCATTAACACTGGAGAGTGCTATAAGTTGCTCATGAAGCTTGGGAGACAGGGCCTGGTTTATTCATAAGCCATTACTTAGGTCACTCCCAGGGATGTCAGGACATGGCCAGGACAAACCCTCATTCTATGAAGAGCAGGGCTACTACCCCAGATTTATGAACCCTTCTGTAGCTTTAGTCCATCTCACCTGTCTTCAATATCCTGGAGCAGTGTGAACCCCATTAAGTCCTGGGGCAGAGGGACTGCCCTGGTGACCCCACTAAGCTCTTTCCACCCTAGGACATACCTGACCCCAGGCTAGCCGCATTGATCCCAAAGGGGTTCGAGACTGTCGGGTGCACCTGGCTGGTCCCCGATCCTCCGGTGCCCTCCCCACCGGACCTGGGGGCCTGGGAGGTGGGGGGCGAGGGGCTCCAGGGGTTAGGGAGGGGCTCTCGATTCTCAGTCCGAAGAGGCTGGGAAGATGAGTTGTCGGAGTTCCCCGTCAGGGAAGAGAAGGGATTGTTGCCAAACTGGGAGGAGGGAAAGGTTTTGGGTTAAGGACTGAAACAAATAAGGGGCAAGGGAGAGGCTCTCTCTCTGTTCTCACCTAAGGGCCTCCCATCCCAGGAAAGGGACTTAAGACATTCTCAACTGCTCTCTGCCCCAAAAGGACAGTTCCACCCTCACCCCACCCTGCAGAAGGGAGCTGGTTGACACTAGTGACTTGGCAGCCAAATACCTCAGGAAATGTCCCATCTCCCCTGCTAGCTCTTGGTATGGGCCTCGCTGTGACCCATAGTTGTTTATATACAACTTTCCTGTAGTATAATAAGGTCCTTGTGTTCCTGTAGCTCTTAAGGGGCAGAGACAATGTCAGGATCACTTTTTTCTTTTTGTCTTTTTGAAACAGGGTCTCCCTGTAAGTCCCAGATGGCCTTGAACTCACTATGTAGACCAGGCTGGCCTTGAACTCACAGACATCTACCTACCTCTATCTCCTGAGTTCTGGGACTAAACTTGCACCACACCTCACTCAGACTCACCTTTCCAACTTAGCCCTGACCCTAGTAGGTGCTCAGTAAGTAATGACTGGCTTCATGGGTATAGGCTCTCAGACCTGACTCTAATTTGACCCTGATCTGACCCCAGCTCCCTCTTTCCCAGCCACCATGACCTAATTCTGACTCCCCAGGACCATCTTCCTTACTTCCTAGGCCCCCTGAGAAGCATTCTGGCCAGGTAGGCATGTAACTATGGTACCCCCAGTGGCACACAGTTCTGGTTAAGGATGCCCTCTCCTCACTCTTTAAGGATCCTTCCCTCGATCCTTAGCACCAGGCTCTTCCTTGTGTTCCTCAGGGCTGTACCTCATCAGGTGGCATGCTGCCTAAAGACAATACTAAACCTCTTCCCTCCACCCCTCCAGCAAGCAGGGGCCATGCATGCTGAGCAGTCCTGTATCCGCCTTCACTTGCTCAAGTTCACAAGGGCCTACTTAGGATTTTCAAGTAAGAAGGAGCAGCTTTGTTCCTCCCCACTGTGGGGTTTCTGATCCAGCCACCATTCCTGTTATTCAAAGTAGGTCTAAGCTGGGTCTAAGCTGGCCAAAGGCTTCAGCTACTCTCAGCTGTGAATCCTTGGCTTTAGCAGATGCCTGTTCAGATAACAGGGCTGGCAGACTGGGTTCATGAACCATGGTTTAATATTTGCTGCTGTTTCAGATTTCCTGTTCCTGTAATCTACCTAGCACCTCACCCCCCACACCCCTAGTTCTGAAGTTCTTCTTGGTGCACTTATGGACTAAATCTTTCCCTGAACTACCAGAATGACTGCAGCTATCTTTTATTGAGCACCTACTACATGCACGGTCCGTTTATTTTAACATCCCTCTAATACACTAATAACACCAGTTCTCCAAAAGGCTTTAAAGTTTTCCTAATTCTACAATGTCAATTTGCTCTTTTCACTTACTCTCTTATGAGGATATTGTGGCATTTTCTAAAAGCTATGTAACATGAGGCATTCAAAAGAATGCATGTGGACCTGAGAAGCCAAGCTGTCTTATAGTATGCCAGACATTAAAGATATCTAAAGCAAGGCCACACTTTTCTGTTTTCAAAGAATGTTATGTAGCTGGGCGTGGTGGCGCACGCCTTTAATCCCAGCACTTGGGA